TAGAGGCACAGTGGGCTGGTTTAGCTTCTCACAACAGAAGAGACTTCACAGACCCTTTGATAATGAAAAGCAAGGCAGACTTTGTTTATTTGCTTCTGTCTTAGATCTGGTTCGACAAGCAGATCTTAGGATGAGGTTTTGTGTTCAAGTGACTACAAAAATGTGCAAAAAATAACCCAGTAAGGAGGTGGGCATGCAAAGTTATGAAGGAGTAAATACCAAGCAAGGGTGCGATATGGGGTGGGGGCTCAGTCCCAGCCTGAAAGCACAGGGGTTCTGCAACATTCATTACACTGCAGAGTTTGCCCCATCTAAAGGCAAGAGAGCCAGGTATGCGCACTTGTGCATGAGTTACCACTGATGGTCCCACCAGGCCAGCGTGGCTGTCAGACGACTAGGGCTAAGTGACTCCACTTTCTCCTGGGTCCTCTGAGGAGGGTCACAATTATAAGCGGTTAAGAGCCAAGAACAGGGCGGCACCTGTGGCTCAACGAGTAGGGCATCAGCCCCATATGCCGAGGGTGGCAGGTTCAAAACCCAGCCCTGGCCAAAAAACTGCAAAAAAAAAAAAAAGCCAAGAACAAAGAGCAGCTGGGGTGTGAGAGTCCAGACCCTGCAAAGGGATCCAGAAGAATTGGGTAAAGCATATATACCATCAGCTATGAGGCCCATGTCATTTAAACACCCCTGAAGTTTAAACTTCTACTATTTTATTGATTTCTCTGTAGGGGAAAAAAATGATATCCTCTCTTTCTTTGTCCTCTGATAGTCAACACTTTAGCAGCTTTTTTTTTCTTCTTTATAAAATGCATGTGGCTAGGGTCACATACACCATTCTCAAGTGATCCTCAGGTACTTTTTCTTGTGTAATTAATAAAGAATTATATACTTTGTTTTTTGTGTTAGGTCATGGACTAGGTCAATACCTTGTTAATAACACACGATTGATTGTATTCAGTGTTACGACTCCTATGCCAAACCAATAAACCACAAATTGTGCTGACTCTTTGAAAGGTTCTAAACCAAGGCCATCTCTTAGCTACGTAGATTTATTTAATTCAGCCCTAAAGGATAATTCAAAATGGATATTATTCTCAAGATTCACAGCCATCTTAACCCATGGTTGTCAGCAAATCTGGACCATGACGGGGGGTGCAGTTGTCTGTGAAAAATGCTTATTCCATCTATTGGTATTAATGGAGGTCATTGTGTCAGGGAGACCTCCCTGGCAGTGGAGATGTGACCGTTCAGAATCTCTCACCTTGTTAAATTTAACACATTGCACATTCTTTATGAAGCTGGAAATAACATACCTGGTTTGGGAACTTCACTCCAAAATTAAGTGCCAAAACAGGACTAGAGTTACTCTTAAAATAAAATCCAAGATTTACTCTTTTTTTCAGAGACTAGCTGTCTTCCTGCTTTGCATCCTTTCTTTCTGTTTTAATTTTGCCATGACTTTCATTCAACGGGTATTTAGTGAGCCTCCTATGCACCAGGCTCTGTTGGTGGAACATAGCAGGGACAAAATATATAAAGTCTCCCCTTTTGAATCTTTAGTTCTAGTAGTGGAGACTGAAATTAAACACACACACACACAGAGAATACTTGGACCGTGGAAGGTGCTGTGAAGGCAATAGAGTGGGGTAAGGGAGGAAAGTGATTCTGATGGGACAGGTGGGGATAGGTGGGGACAGGTGGGGGTGAGCGGTGTCTTTCCAGAGGTGCCATTTGAGAAGGCGCCAGTTCTCTAATGGTTGGGGGGTCGGATTTTCTGGTGGAAGGAATAGTGAGCATGTAACTCTCATGTCAGCAACAAACTTGACGTGCTCCAGAAAAGGCGGCCAGTGTGGAAACAAGAGGAGAGTGGTGAGCTCCGAGAGGGCAGCAGACGCTGGCTCATTTGAGGCCTCCTAGGCCATAAGAAGGACACAGACCTTTGAAAATTCATGACAGGGTTTTAAGTAAGAGCATGACTTTATCTGACTGACTTTTTAAAAAGGTAGGGCAGCATCTGTGGCTCAAAGGAGTCAGGCACCGGCCCCATATACCGGAGGTGGCGGGTTCAAATCCAGCCCCAGCCATAAATAAATAAAAATAAATAAATAAAATAATGAATAAATAAATAAATACAAATGAAAAGATAGGTGAGGTGCCTGCCTTACTGTTGGTGATGACTCAGGGAGAAAAGAGAGCAATGATAGTAGGTCACCTGCCTGGGGGTGCTCTGGACATTTGGGAGGAGCAAGTTTCCAGGGCAGATTTGGGGACAGTGGCAAAGGACTTGGCACTTATGACTGGAAGTCCTTGAGCATGTCTTTGAACTTCCCTGGGCCTCAGTCTTCCTGTCTGAAAGATGGGGATGCTACCACATGTCTACCTCAGTGTGTTCTTATGAGAATTAAATGCACTGATATTTAGTTAATATTTACTCCATGTAAACACGTTGAGCAGTTAGCAATCAATATATATTTACTGCTTTTGTTGTGATTATTGGATGTGGAGAGAGAGGAATCGAGGACAACACCTAGGTTGGGGACACAACAACACAGCTTATTGTCTGTGTGTCCAGGTGATGCCCTGAGGACTTTGAAGCTGCGGAGGCTCTTGACCCCATGTTGCTGCTATTGATTCACCTTGACCACAAGCCAATAGCTCACCTTGCTGTGTCTCTCCTGGCCTTTATATCTGTGCCTGGGATAACTACACATCTAGGAAACTTCCAGATAAAACGGGAAGCTGAATTGCACATTGTGCCTAGCAGTTTTGTAGTTTTCATTAGAGAAGTTACTAATTTTTCACAAATGGACAAGGTAATCATGACCACATTCTGCAGTGAGCAGGACTGTGCTTCCCCCAAAGGTGCAGGAGCTGAGAGGCTAAAGAAAGAGGCTGACAAATCCAACTTATCAGAAACACTAAATAGGGCCTTACAGAGAGAAGCCAGGTCTTGAATGGCTGAAGACTGGATACTTGCACCCACCCTCCAGAAAGTGTTCTTTATAAAGGAGTTTTTAGGGTAAAGACGTGTGCAGTTGGTCACGACTTTATTGAGAAACTCATGACAACTGAGAAGCTCTGTTACCAAAATTTCTTTCTTCAGTAGATCCTTGGTCTCAGGGATTCGAAAAATGAACCCATGGACCACAGATCAGTGGTAAGATGGGATTTATTATAGAGAAAAAATATAGAAAAAGCACCAGAGCTCTTGGCAGAGGGAAAGACCCAAGTTGGAAAATCTCCGCCAGGGTCCTTTGACTGGGGGTGTATATGTCCAGCCTAAGAAATGAATGGGTACAGGCCTTTTCTAGGGGCAAGGTTAATGAGCCTGTTAACAAATGAATGGATAGGGTCCCCTCTGCTAGGGCACACAGTCAGGGGGTTCTTGTCAGGAAACTGGTGTAATTGCTGAGGCTTAGGAAATGGGAGGAACCCTGTACCCTGAGGCTGATAGTTCTTCTTCCTATGGGAATCAGCTTTCAGCCCCAAAGGCAGGGTCTCCACATAGAAGAACTGGTCATACTTGTGGAATCTGGCTTTCCCTTTTGCCCACCAGCCGGCCTTCCACCAGCCCAGCCAGCGTTAAGAGGCTGCCCAGAGTGAGCCAGCCCCGTGTGCTTGAGGCCTCTGTGAGCGCTGTGGGCAAGGCAGAGGGTGGCCACAGTGCAAGCTTGGCAGGCTAGGCAGGGAGCTGACTCTGGGAGGAGAAGTGGGAACCCTATATAGTTAGATGAACATCTTTACAAAGGGTTATCTATGCCATAGGCCTTGTTTCTTTATGAGGGGGTTATCTGTGCTGCAAGGACATCTTGGTATGCAGGAAGCAAAGCCATCAGTCACCATGGTGGTTTCCCCTCAAGATGGCATCTCTGTTGCCATGTAGCCGGCTGTTTCCCTACGACTAACTGAAAAAGAGATAATGGTTTTTAATCCAAAGTTTCTATGTTCTGTGACTATTGAAATCCAAGTGTCTCAGTGCCTGTGTTTATATCTGATGTATAAACAAGAAACAGAGGGGAGGAAATTAGTTGCTGCTGGAGTGTAGTCTAATAAGACGGTAAGACTAGGGTAAAGAAAAGTTAAAATTGGATCAGAAAAGACAATATCAAGTAAAAAGATATAGAAGGTTCACTGTACATACACAAAGAATAACTTGGATGCTGTGTAAAAAAAAAAGTTAATGAATGCAGAAACCCATTCCTTTAGTCCAGATAGGATATTTTGGGTCGACGACTTCTTATTCTTGGAATGAAGAAGCCAGGTTTGAGTCCTGCATGGTTTATGACTAATTATAAGCATATCATTTGGGATAAATTACCACCTTCTCTAAATTCCAGCCAGGATTCCACCTCACGATGTTGTTAGAAGAATCTACAAAGACAATATATAAAAAAGAAATCTGCTAATTTATCTTTAGTACTGTATGTTATTACTATTGATACTAATCCAACTCTGAGAAACCCAGGCCCAATTGGGCCCTTGTCATTATGTTTTCATTTCAATGACATAAACTGCAGGGTGAGTATAGGCCCCAAAAGGATATGGGAGTTTTGTCCCTGGTTTAGACAGTAGAAATATTGAGTTTAGCATTATCCATCATCCTTCAAATGGGTTACCTCCTTAGAGTAGCCCTTTCGCAGAAGGCTGGTATCTGTATTTTTATTTTTTTCCCTAAAATATATTATTATGCATTGAGTTCGGGTGATTTAAATTAGAATTAACACTGCGTCTTCTGTCCTGGTTGCTGCCATTGCTCCTTTAATTCAGCCAGGGGTGTGGACTAGGCTTCTCTCCTTTTAGCCAATGTGACTCACAGACCTTGAGCCCCTGGTGTAAGGCGCACATCCATTTGCTTTCTTCACTCTGAAAATAACTTGAGTTAAGATACCATATTGCTAATGGATGTTTCAGAATACACACACCTTGGAAGCAACAGCAAAACCTTCTGCAAGGTCACCCTCACCTGTGCCTGCTTTCTCCCCCTCTTTTTTGGTCCCTAGGTAAGTGTGAAATCGGCTGGGCCTACTACTGCACGGGAGCAGGTGCGGCGGCTGCCATGCTGCTCTGTACGTGGCTGGCTTGTTTTTCCGGCAAGAAACAGAAGCACTACCCATACTGAGACGGAGCCTCCGAGGGCAGACGGAGGAGATGGGCCAAAGTGGCTCGGAAGGGGTCGAAGCATCCAGCTACTTTAAAAAGGTGGAATAGTGGTTCTAATCCAATGCAATGCTAATGAAATGAAACCCGATAAAATCAGGAGCATTATAATGGGAAGGAAGGGGGCTGGGGGAGATTCGTGAAAGAAATGCAAAGTATGGGATGCTGGAGAAAAATGAACCAAAGGCCAAAAATATTGCAGGGTATCGGGTGTTCCTATTCCACACAGTATTGTTAATGTTTAACACACACACACGCGCACACACACACGCGCGCTCGCGCCTGCGCACGCACAGCCAATCAAAATATGCAAAGACGTGTTTTCTTTTTAAAAGTGAGGATTCAGAAAATCAAAAGGGCTAGTAGAAACAGTGTTATGTTGGGAAGCAGGGTACCCTGCAGATGCGCCCTGGAGGCCACAGCACTCCCGAAAGCACACACAGACACAGCACCCGCGCACAGACACACGGATCGTCACACAGACCGCAGGAGGTTCAGTGGTGCATTTCTCCTGTTTTCTTTTTAATATACATTTAAACAGCATTATCACTTTATAAAGCTACAATAAGCCTAATAAATGGACCAGTAAGCCACTCTATCAGTATTTTGTATGTCCTGCATAAACTCTTTACACCCCCCGTGTGTCTTCAGTGTTTACCTTTAGAGTTAAGCCTTCATATTTCAGTGTTACTCAGAGATATGCAATATTTCTCTGAGTAGCTTCCGCTATGATATTCTTATGAAGTAAAAGGACAACTTCCTGTCCTCTGATAAGGAGAGAATTCCACTGCAGGTATGAGAGTATTAAGAGACATTTTCCAGTCATTGGACTTTATTTTCTTTTGTCCATTATTGTTCTGTGCTGTACCCCATTTATTTCAATATTCATTTTGTAAAAAAAAAAAAAAAATGCAAAGTGCTATTTTGTTTGTATTTGCAAAGCTCTGTGAATAAATTCTCTCTTTGATCAATAGCTGGACGAGTCCTGGAGTGTTAACTCAGCCACTGAGTCTGCTGCTTTATTTCTATAAAGACAGCCTGTCAGTCACAACGGTCCTGTGAATGTTCCTTTTCTCTTTTAAGGCCTTTCTTTAATTCACTCACTAATTATCCAAGTGATACGGGGTTCCCCCATTCAAGGTTCGACAGGGGACCCCAGTTTTCCTAGGCCTGGGCAATTTCAAGAAGGGAACACCCTGACCTTTTGCCTGAGCTAGAGGGACTGTGTTCATTCATTTGTCAATAATGCTCATTAACACCAAGTCCTGGCCAAATGTAGTTCTCAACACCTTATGCCCCTGGACAAAGCACCCATGTGCCAGAAGCTCTGGTGATTTTTACCCCTCTATGTTCCTTTCTGTCTAATAAAATCTGATCTTACCACTGATCTGTGGTCTGTGGGTTCATTCTTTGAACTCCTGAGAGCAAGGACCTACTGAAGAAAGAAATTCCAGTAACACAAGCAGGCATAGTTCTAGGCACATAGTATGTTAAAAAGTGTATGAAATATAGTTTCTGCTTTCAACTTAAATTCCTTGCAGCCAGAATTCTAACTCCTTGCTTACTGTATTTCAATACGATGAAACTCTGACGAGAGAAATATTTCAGGTCTGTTTTGTATTAAGACTAAAGGAAAAGGACAAAGAGGTCGGGAACCTGTGGCCTTGGGAGTGGGGAACGTGTGGTCCTTGAGTGCAGCCTTTTGAGAAACCAAATTTTACAGAACAAATCTTTTTATTAAAAAGAGTGCAGGAAAGAAAGATGAAGGTTTTCTTCCTCCTTTGGTGCATAAAAAAGAACAATTATGAAATTAGAAGGCCACAGGTTTCCAGGAGGCACTGAGTTTCTTCTGTACTTCAGAGCCAAGGGCGGTTTTACCCTGCCATCCTTCTGGGGTCTTGGCCATTTGAGAGAGGTTATTTTACACCCCTTCTCCCAGCAGAGAGCTTGACTAAAGAGAAAGGTTTGGACCCTTTCATACCCCCTAACAGAACCAGCTCTTTCAGGAGCAATGATAGCGTGCTGGATAATAGATAATATTCTTTTTACAAGCAAATCTGACATATTGTAGCAAATCCTTAAAAATTCACCTTCAATTAGCTTCTAAATTATGTGCTCTTCATATCTGGAAATTGAACAATCTGTCTATTTAAATAGGTAATTATATTTTCTGCACTCTTTCTACATATTTATCAATTTAACTTGGATATCTGAATTTCACACTTGCTTCTGGTACTTTTAATCATTCCAGGGTGAGGATCTGTGCTTCTTAGGAAGAATAATACAGGAATCTGGCCAATAACAGTCTGAGCCTTCTGAGGCTTTGTTAGTATGGAGAAAGTCATTCCTCTCTGAGATGCTTAATTCATAATGTGCTGAATGTCATTTGATTGTGTCTCATTGTCTGCTGAGCTGGGGCTTCTCCACTCTGTGGTTTCCTGCAGAGAAGAGAAGATTGTGCTTTGCTTCCCCAATTAGCCCACTATTTTCCTGCATAGCTGGTGCTTTTCAATTTTTTTTAGCTTCACCTTCCTGTCAGAATAGCCTTATGACTTCTTAGTTCCCATTATCAAGTTGGAGTTCTCTATGGAATTCATTAAGACCTAATTCTTTAGACAGATTTAAGGATGTCAGTGTCATTTTTATGTAGTCCCTGTGATTTTAGACACTAGTGAGCCTCACTAGGATAAAAACACAGCCACTCTTACATGACAAAGTCAAGTGGAAAACCTTCTATCACAAGTTTCACAAGTTCTGACTAGTCATATTAGTAATATGTTTTTGGTTCAAGATAGCCCAGCATTTTATGAGAAACACCTAATTTATTAATAATTATATATCCTGCTTATGAAATGAAAATCAGGAAATAATAATAACAACAATAACTAAGTCTGAAAAGTATGTATTCACAGGATTCTTACTGATGTACACTTAGAAGCAAAACATTTTCTATTTTCCAACCTCAAGAGCCTTCACTGCTCACACAGCCCTGTGAGGTGAGTGGGGAGTTTACTTTGTTTTCAGGAAGAGAAATTGATGGAATTTAAGGGACTCTTTCAATTTTCAGCAATTCATTCATGCATTTGGATAACAAATGGTTACTGAGCACCTGCTGCTTGGTAGGTATTCTACTAGGTAGAAAGCACTAGATAAAACACAGCTGTGAAGTGGGCCCTGCGCTTGTGGTGGAAAAGTAATCAGAACCTCAGTGATCATTCTATCAGACGTGAACTACTCTCAAAGACAGGGAGAAATTTCCTCCCAGAATCCTGCAGACACAAATTAAAAAGGCATAAAGAAAGATGATGTATTACAATGTTCTGCTCTTCAAAAGACATCATTCAGAAAATGAAAAGGTGAGCCTAAGATTGGAAAAAGTCATATATCTGATTTAAAAAACCTTATATTGAGAGTACATAAATAACTCTCTCAGATGAAATATAAAAAGACAACCTAATTTTTTTAATGGGTAAAAACATGGAGTATTTCCCAAAAAAGTATATACAAATGGCCAGTAATTACATTTAAAAGGCTTTCACAATCATTGGATAACAAGAAAATGAAACTTAGAGATACACACACTAGACTAACAAAATATTAAAGTATTGACAACATCAAATATTGCCAAGTCTGTGGATGGAAGGTTGGGAAAACACCAGGCAATTTCTTTTCTTTCTTTCTTTCTTTCTTTCTTTTTTTTTTTTTTGAGACAGTCTCACTATGTCGCCCTATAGTAGAGTACTATAGCTTCACAACTCACAGCAACCTCCAGCTCCTGGCTTTAAGCAATTCTTTTGCCTCAGCCTCCCAAGTAGTTGGGACTACAGGAGCCCACCACAATGCCTGGCTATTTTTTTGTTGCAGTTGTTTTTTAGCAGGCCCAAGTCAGGTTCAAACGCACCTGCCTTGGTGTATGTGGCTGGCGCCCTAACCACTGAGCAACAGGTGCCAAGCCAAGCAGGCAGTTTCTCATTAACTAGAGTAATTCCTCTCCTAGGTATTTATGCCCCCGCCAAATTCATGTCCACAAAAAGGTTGTATCAGAATTCTCATTTCATTTTTATTTGTAATAACCCTAAACTGAGAGTAACTCACCAATGCACAGAAAAATTGTGACATATTCAAAGAGTGAAATGTGGAGCAGTAACAAGGGATGAGCCCTGGGACACACAGCCAACCCGGTGAATGTCACAGATGTTGTGTTGAGCAAAAGAAGCCAGACAGGGGAAACACTAATATTGGTGATAGAAATTAGAATAGCAGTTATCCTCTTATCAAAGTGTGGGGATTGACACAAGGAAACTTGCTGAGATCATGGAAATGCTTTGTATATTTCAGGGGTGGTAACCAGACGGGTATATACACTTGTCTCAGTCCATTGATTGAGATAACAACACTTAAGGACTTGAGTCCTTAACAAACCTTTAAGGACTGCATTTTACTGCATAATTTTACCTTAATAGAAGAGAGAGGTAGAGAGGGCTGTAAGGGCTAATGGAACTGTGAGTTGTCTCAGGTGGCCTGGCAGCAGTGAGGGTGAGTCTGGGGCCGGTGGGAGCTGAGGCTGGGAAAAGGCGAGCAGGGCTTCACCTGCTATGCTGAGAGGGCTAAAACTTCAAACTGACCCTGGAGGCAGCGGGAGGGTCTGAAGTGGGGTAGATGCTGTAGAAATAGCCTGCGTTTTTTAGAAAGATCCCCGGAACAAAGGAAAAGGAGGTGAACAAATAGGATGATGTCATCCAAGAGCGGAATGAGAGAGCCAGATTGGGCAAAATCAGCAGCGGTGGAGAGGCTGCCACCGATTAGAGACAGCAGGATAAAATCAGGAGTGGAACGTGGAGAGCTGGGGGGGTGGAACTGCCACAGAGGGAGACAGGGCATGAAAAAGGAACGTGGAACCATGTGCTCAGGCGTCAAAACACTACTTATCTACACGCCACAAGTAAATACAATGTTATTGTCAATTAAAAAATAAATTTAAGAAAAGAGATTTCCAACCTGGAATTCTATACTCGAGGAAAATATTTCAAAAACAAAAACTTCAAACAAAAATAAAGGCCTTTTTCAGGCATACCCCCAAAATGAGTGTAATTAAGTACTTATGTGTGAGAAATTTGTGAGCTATTTAGAGGAAGGAGATACTTGGTGTGTTGAATATTAAAGCCTGAGGTTTAGACACACTTTTGGATGATTTGGAAATTTGGTGATTTCATCATCGTGGGGACTTTCCATGTGTGGACAGTACTTAGATAAACATACTGGTAAAGCCTGCTGCACACCCAGGCGGTATGGGACAGCCGACTCCTCCCAAGTTACACACCTGTACAGCGAGGAGTTACTGTATTGAACACTGGGCAACTGGAACCCAATGGTGAGTATTTGTGGTTTTAAATAGATTTAAACATAGAAAAGGTACAGTAAAAATACACTGTAAAAAAACGGTACACTGTATAAGGCATTTACCATAAACGGAGCTTACAGGACTGGGAGCTGTTCTGGTGAGTTACTGAGCTCAGGAGTTCCAGACCTGCCTGAGCAAGGCTCTACTAAAAATAAATTTTAAAAACATTTCACTTAAATGTACCCTGTGGTTTGTTTGTATATTCCTAGACAACTATATTTCTCACCTGTTGGGGACCAGCCCCAGACTGTTCCCTGAGTTCCCTCCCAGTGGTTGATGGAGACGAGAGGATGAGAGAAAAAATGAAAAGTCAAATACAAGAGAAAGTTTTTAAAGGAACAGCTGGGTCAGGAGACTGTCCACCTTCAATCTGAGGACCAAAGGACAGCCCCTTACTCTAGGCTAGCTCTGTTTTTATTGCATACACCATTGTTTTATTTTTTTATATATTTTTTCCTTGATGTTTCTTGTTTGGGGGGGTTTTCTTTGGGGGGGTTGAGACAGAGTCTCACTTTGTCACCATGGGTAGAGTGCTGTGGCATCACAGCTCACAGCAACCTCAAACTCTTGGG